GCCTAATTACTCAAATTATTAATCCCGTATTAAAATTATGTACGTTATGTATAAACAACATCTGCAGCAGTTATTTTGTTGTCTTTGTCCAGATATTGTTATTTAAAACATTATTCGTTGTACTAATTGAAAAGTTCTAACTAACCAGTCAAAGTGTAGAATAAAAAACTCACGGATTGCATACTTTTTAACAACTAAACTCAGACTAAGACCAAATTATTGCCTATTATTCGGGGTGGCGGTCCCGAATTTTACGTCAAATGTATAAAAGTTTAATTATTATATAAAATAACGAATAGTTGAACAATTTTAACAATGGCTGAGAAAGCACATCGATTTATAGTTCTGAGCATCCTTGTAATTGCCTGCTTTATTGGCAGGTAAGTAAAATTATTCAACGTTTTATTTACACATTCATTTGTTAATTAAGCTTTTTACAATCAAAAGATTTCTCACGCCACCCGAACAACACACATGTGAATTTCAAGCCGCAAACATAATTTTTCAAAGAGCCGCGGATATGTTTGATCAAAGTTTTGCTTTCGCATCATATGGTAAACAAATTGCCAATGGACTTCGACAGTTGAGTGAAGAACTTGTACGCGCTGGTAACAGTTTCAAAAAAATGTATCGAAACGGGTTCTATGTTTTCGAAACATTTCAGACGGAAATCGAAACACTGTTTAACATACTTGATTCCAAAATGACTGATAAATCCAACTTTTTTAAAGAAAGAACTGAGAGAATGCTCAAAGTAGTCAAAGAGTTTCGTACACATGTGCGACGAACAAAAAGCGCAATGCTTGACGTGGACGGTAGACGTAATGATCTTGAAACAAACATATTTGCTGGGATGAGAGAGGTACAAAAGTTTATTAAAGAAGAATGGCGGAATAGCCAGACCGATATAGTAATAGCGAAACGTGAATCGGAAGTAGCTGTCGATGTTTTAAAGTGCTTTCAAAGTACAGGCAAAAAGATAGACACAATACTTAAGATTTTGGATGAGCATGAGAGTAATCTATTAGACGTTTAATCGCAATTGGGTAATTTATTTATAATTACTAAAAAAGACTTTACTTATTTGATAAAAGTGCTAAGAGCTTTACACAAAAGTCACAAAAATTTTATACTAAAAGATAGCAATCCGACCAGTTTTGACTGGTGGTTATGGGTAATTCGGTGACAAATATTACAACAAAGTGTGTACTCATTGTCAATAATGCATAGTAGTTTGTTTTAAATAAAATACTATTTATACTTTGTTGCGTTCTTCTTTGTTCATACTTGGTGTTTGCTGAGAAAAAGTCGAAACAAACTTTTATAATAAATTCAACGTAATATGTGATGAGACAATTGTGCTGGTAATATTAACAATGAGTTATAGAATAAGTATTCAGAAATAGAGACAGTATATTAAAATCATAAACAAAGACACTTATTTTGAGTAATGAATTGTTTGGATTTGATCGCGCAACGGAAAAAAAAGCAGGGCGCAATCGTGTAAAAACGTCACAATATTATATAATAACACGAAGACTATTGAGTTAATAGCAGTTAAAATATTAATATTTACTAATTGTTTTATTTCTGTTTTTGAAATTAAATGCTCAAAACCGTTAACTTTGTTATACAAAGTATAGAGGATATTGCAATTGAATATTACTAAATTGAAAGAGTTAATTGCTACGCACCGAGCGTTAGATGTAGTAATTAAGCGTACATCTTAACTTAAACTATTAATAAATTAATATTTGTTGCAAGGTTGTAGTGACAAGTTATTAGCGTAAAAAAACATGACAAGTAATACAATACCATAGTAAGTATCACGAGCATATTTTGCCGCGCAAAATAGGAAGTATCCGAAAGATAGAGACTCACTAGATAAAACCGGACAAAACTCTTTTTCTGGTAAACAAAGTCTAGAATAAACAAAAGCAGAGGAGAAGGCTCCCGATTTGAAAAGTGCTTTTATGCAGGAGTAAAAATTCACGGATGTTGCATCGGTTAAATCTCGAAAACAAAAACCAAATTATATAACTTTTTATGAAATTATATTAAAATTATTGTATATAAATCAGTAATAAAAAGTTTTATTTTTCAATGTCGCTAAAGTTTTGCTAATCATCGTCGATTAATGGCTTTAAGGGGTCTTTCTGTGCAGAGTACCAATCGGAGATCTAGGATGTTGTGATATCCTACGTTTGACAGTCAAATGTACAAAAAAAAGTTATGTACTATGATCTAAAATTAATTGTCATTTAATATTTTCCTGTATCGGTATTTGCATTTGTTTTGAGCGTGAGAACATTTTTTTTCTTGTCAAAGGTAAACTAGCAGCTATTATTAGTTACCATACTAAACATGCATTATTCATTGTTGATTAAAAAAAATGAATTAGGGCTTAAACTCTTTACAGATTGCGTTTATTAATATCAATACTTTTAATCAAAAACGCACTGTTACTCGGTGTGTCAAAATAAATAGTATACCGACGTCTGACCGCAGCAGTTAATTCTGGTCGCCTTTGTTCTTATATATGGAGATATTAATTATCCATCGTTCACAATAAAGTTATCTATTGCACAAATTGGAAACAGTCTAACTAATCAAACATAAATGTGGAATGGGTCTTTACAACGGTACCCTTTTTTACAAGCTAGACCAAGACGTAAGAACAATCACTTTTTTTCCGGACTTGCGCTCCGAGTTTTTTGACATTATCTGCTAGAAATGACTAATACGTATAAAAATTTTCAATATTTATACGAGCGGATGACTGAGTAATTTAAAATCTGACGATGACAGCAATAAGCGATAGTGTATGAATACCTCTGTATTGGTCTTGACTTAAAATATCTATTTGAGTAATTAGGCTAACAATTATTAATTCTCTTCACCAGACGGAACATGCTACCGCGCATAATAAATTACGCCAGCTTAGGTGGAATAGGATTGAAAATTTTACCATCTTTGTCAAGAAATTTCTCAAGCTTGCTCAGAGTTCTGGACTAAATGGAGTTCCAGAATCGCAAAAAATAAATTTGTTTTTGCAAACTCTTCCACCTGATTTTGCCGACAAAATTCAGAATACTGTGCGTAACCGACAAAACGTCAACTCAGAGGGCCAACCAACTTTACAACAAATTATCGCCATTGCTGAACAGCACAGCGACGTATTTCGATATCCATATAGTTCATGGTATATTTACGGTTCTCAAAAATTTTGGTTATTGTTCAATTACGGCATGCGTAATCCTCAACGGTTTATGACGCTGAGCGTTCTCGTGCTTGCCATATTATATTGGCAGGTAGGTAAAAATAAAGTGATAATTTTTAATACACATTTATTTGTTAATTAAATTTTTTGTTACGTCAACAGTTCCTAACACCGACAATCAAGCCAGACAGTACAATTGGTAATTTCGCAGCTCTTACTAATGATATATTCGTACAAATTAACGCCGTTGACATTCCGTGTAAGTATACATTATGGGTAATTCACGCACAAACGTATAAGAATTTACTCATAAGCACGAATTTTTATTTTTTAAACAGCGTCCGATGGCATTATGGAGCATACACATGAATTTAAAGTAGCCGCAAATATGATTGATAAAAGTCCTGCTTTCGCATCATATGGTAAACCAATTGCCAATGGACTTCGGCAGTTTAGTAAAGACGTTGTACGCGCTGGTAACAGTCTCAAAGAAATGTATCGGAAAGGATCCTATGTTTTTGAAACCTTTCAGACGGAAATTGAAACACTGTTCAAAATATTTGATTCCAAGATGACCGCTAAATCCAAATTTTTTACAGAAAGAATTAAGAGAATGATCAAAGTAGTCCAAGAGTTTCGTATACAGGTGTACCAAGCAAAAAACGCAATGCTTGACGCGGAAAATAGGCGTGATGATCTTGAAACAAACATATTTGCTGGGCTGAGAGAGGTACAAAAGTTTATTAAAGACGAATGGTGGAATGATCAGACCGATATAGCAATAGCAAAACGTGAATCGGAAGCAGTTGTCAATGTTTTAAAGTGCCTTCAAAGTGCAGGCAAGAATCTAGACACAGTAGGTAAGATGTTGGACGACTATGAGAGGAATCTATTAGAGGTTCAAGCGCAATTAGGTAGTTTAGTTATAGTTACTAAAGAAGACTTCAATTATTTGATAAGATCGCTAAGAGATTTACACAAAAGTCACAAAAGATTTATACTAAAAGATAGCAAACCGACCATTTTTGACCGGTTATGGTTAATTTGGCAAGCGGCAACATAGTTTACAAAAATTAGGTGTAAATTATTACGGCGGAACATGGATTGGTTGTCAATGGCACATAGTAAATAAAAGTTATTGTAAACAACAAATTCAGCAAATGCAATAGATATTTCTTATTAAACAAATGAGGATGAATAAATCAACATTTTGTGCGTGCTCGACAAGATTTGTTTGCGTGTCGTTACAGGCTGTGCAAAGATGTTATGGAAAAAAGAGCCGCAAATCTTTGAAAAATGTGAGTATATTGGATAATTTTTGATGTATTACTCTTATGACAATGATAATAATACGTATCGATAAATTCGTAAATCGAAAGAGTTTGTATCTTTAAATTAGACATAAGCGATGTTGCCCCAGTAAAATTTCGTAAATTGAATCATGTGCACAATTTAATTACGT